GATAATGGATGGAGTACGCAACTCTGAAACGTCTGTAACTTTCTACCAGACCCTAAGGCGCAACATCCCAGAAGACAGTCGTTATTATAATTATCGCCACGAGAACTAGAAATCTCACCCCCTTTCCAATTAACATCTATGCTAATGACTTTATTGTAAAGATTGGTGTCTTCTGGGTTGTTGGGCCGTGTAGTATGGTAGATGTTTACCAACGTTTCAGAGGTCATGCCCAGAAGACACCAATCTTCAGACTCGCCGTCGTGAAAATCTCAAATCCTAGGAGTTTATTGTGGATGCAAAACCCATCAATACCTCAACCAGCCAGCTCTCCTCTCAACTGAGTGACATCTCTTTGCTCTAGGGAAGATGTTCGCCTCATCCAGTTTCTACAAGCCCAGTCTGCACCCGACAGTGGAGGATCAAGTGGACCTGGCAAGACGAATCTCACAGTCACTGAGTGACATCAGTAACCGGCAGAGCAAAGGCCAGTCCATGTACGTGAACAGAAAAAAGCGATCGGTCAAATGGGTTCACGAAGGTGAGTACCGGAATCATTCTGTCCTACCCTTCGAGGCGAAGAAAAGAAAACGTAACGTGAGATTTGCTTTCACGGCGGTGAAGATGATTATTTTAAAGGTTTTTGCGCCGTGTAGATTCTAATGTTTGCACAGTACGTTTCTCCGAAACGATGGAATCTATCGATAAGTCTACGCGATACCAAAACCTAGAAGAACATCATCAAAACGAAGGGAATTAAGAAATTCAATTAAACGTTTCACATTCAACATTTCCCTGTAATCATGACAAAATTATACTTTAAGTAGAAGACCAAAATTTGTCTCAGATATTCACTATAAAGACTTATGCCTCAACGTTCGTCTTTTCATCTCTGAAACCTTCGCTGAATCTTAAACACGTTTAGTGTGACACACTCGCATTAAAACTGAGTATCATGTTACGCAGAATAAAGGAGATTTGTCTACAGTAATTCTATCGTTAATAAAACTAAGCTAACATGTAAACGCTCTCCATAGCAGAGTTCCACCCATCCGGTGAGTGGCAATGAATCCGACAAGCAGACAACAGACGCCACAAACAGGCGAGGAACGCCAACAAGGGAACTCAACTAATTTATTACGGCAGCTAATCTGTTTTGTAATCTATTTCTGTAGCACAGACGATGGTCTGATGATCCCACACCGTTTCTGAAACTCCGAGCATTAAAGAATGGCTAATGATTGGAACGGAGTTTGGCAATGTCACAACCTAGGTACACATTTAGATCGATACAGCCAATAGCTGAATGCTTCAAGTTGCAGTCTGTGTTTAAGTAAAGGTCGAAACTTGCCTTCAATGCAACGACACTCTTTTAACAACTTTCAACCTGCCACTAATTGCACTTATTTATGTAGCTGAGACGTGGTCTCTTAGTAGGAAGGAATCTGCAAATGTTTCAGAACAAAGTGCCAAGGAAAATATTTAAACGTCGTATACACTGGAACGGGGGATCACATGACGAAGAATTTCGTGATTTATACAGCTCATCCGATGTTTTGGAGTTGTTAGTTCAATGGGATTACGATGAATCGGAAATGCAATTCAGGTGGGGCGAACAAGAAATTAGAAACAATTCTGTAGAAAAACATCTTGAGTAGTGACCCTTTGGAAACAAAGGAGAACAAGAAAGGAAAATTCTGACCTGAATATTATGAAAGTGGGTATGAGGTTATGAACTGGATTTAATTGTCTCATGGTTGTGTTGTGCTGTAAACTCTAATTTTAGTGGTGTTGAAGTTAAAGCCTTGGATTATAAATTATTTTAATTTCTAGTGCTGATAGCGATGGTCGTACGACAGTCTTAGACAGTAGGCTCCAATCAAACTCGGGTAATGGATTTTATTTACGGTCTTCCAATATTCAAAGATGAAGAGGCCAGAATCTTGTGGAAAACCACTACTATAAGCGACGAAGGGTAGAGTACCAAGAAGAAGAGATGCAAATTGCTGTCGAAAATAGTTGAACTCAAATAAAATGGAGAATATTAAGAAACATCACCTTTGCACGTAAAATTGTCACAGTGACTTAAAGAAAGATAAGAGGGCCAGACATGTAGCATGGACAAACAATAAACAGGCCTATATACAAGTGTTGGTTTCAAAACGTCATGAAACGATATCAGATGAGGAAATGGCAGCCTAATTGATATTTGAGCAGGAACGAAAATGCAAACTAAATTTTAAAAAATTATGGATAAGGCCTATGTTTTTTTCTAACAACTGTGATTAGCCTACGAATCCCGAAACAGAATAGAATATCTTAAAAAGATAATAATTAGTTAATGACTCCGAAGGCGTACAACTGAGTACCTGAAATACAGGCCTGAGTTTAAAGTTCTCTTAGGTAAATTTACAGAAATTTTGTGGCTCTATGGCGAGACGCGGTAGCCGAATGCAGTCCACAGTCAGTGTAGCGTGTATGCCTACCCGGGTTCGGTCCCCAAGTATAATATTTTTGCCAATCACAGTGGCTGCGCGGTCTGGGGCGTGGGTTCGAATCTCGCTTTAGACATGGATGCTTGTCTTCTTTGTGTTGTACTGTCAGTAATATATCTCGTTTATAGAATTGAACGGGACAACTCCATGTCAGTGTGTATAAGGAAAGCGAAGTTTAAGATCTACGTGTTCCTAATCTTGACAACAGCTGATAATGGTCGGTTTTACTTTCCGTTGACTTAAATGCTGGTGAAAAAGCCCACGTGTACCTGTTTCACAGAGTGCCAAAGCGATTTTACGCGTGATCGCACAGAAAAATATCCAAAAGCCCCCTCTATGTAATTAAAAAAGAACCATCATTCGATGCCTTTTTAAAATAAAATACGAAATTATACCCATGCCGTGGAACTGTTTCCTCAGCCAACCAAAACTGCGATGTTACGTGAACAATTTTAAAAGCAAAACAGGTTTTAGCTACGAGCACTCAGTCTAGCCATTTGACTTCGGTGCATATGAACTTGCAAATTTGTTTTTAATGATGCTAATAAAAGCAGCCCAGCTCAGCCTTGTTTGTTTTCTCTTGCAATATAAACATGGTCACACTGAAGCTTCGAGGTGGCAGCGCGAACACTTGCAGAATTTTAGCGCGCGAGGCAATCGACGAGCTTTCGCTTTCCAACAACCAACTTGCCTAGGTTTTTGTATCGTATTTGCGTGTTTCAAGTCCATTAATAGGAGCATCAAGGAGAGATCATATTTTAAATGAGGGAATTCGTCAGCAAGTTGGTGTAGATAATTCACGAAATTTGGAAACACAGCCAAAAACTTAAATAACACGTCTACAAAATACCACCGTATCCTATATTAAATTGCACGTGGTTACTCGCAGGCTCCTTTTCAACGCGAAGGCCCGGGTTCCCGCTCAGTACAGCGTATGTGGAATTTGCGGCAGACAAAATGGCACTGCGATGGGTTTCTCTTCGAGGGCTTCGGTTCTACCCTGTCAATATTATTCATCGATGTTCCATGTCCACTAATTTGTAATCTGGGTAATGGACAATGAACCCGTTAGCGGCCACAGTTCCACAGACCCCGTCACAATAATTATAAAAGTAGTAATAACTGAACTTCGTGCACGAAGGTGAGATCTAAGATGATTAAGGATGAACAGCGCCTGTGCTTCAGAACTGGAAATAAGTACCCAGATGAAAATGGCTGTCTTTTGGGTTATTGCGCCGTGTAGTCTGGTAGAAGTTTACCAACGTTTCAGACGTCCTTGCTGACCCATCATCAGGGCGCTGAAACGTTGGTGGACATCTACCAGGCTACACGGCGCAACAACCCAGAAGACACCCATCTTCACACTTACCGTCGTGAAAACTTCAAATCCTACAAAGTACTCAGATCTTCAGAGGGAGCAGAAAATATTTTTTGTGTATCTCAAATAACAAACTGACAAATTTCAATTAGACGTCATATGGACGCAATGCAAAAGCAGATCACAGGACCCCTCATAGTCGTATGAGGTCTTTTAAATTACCGCTAACTAAACACAGAGAGATGGGAGCCACACTAGCGCCATTTAAAGCATGGTTTTGTTCGCGTGAAATCTAGATTTGCCTTTCAATTTGATAGAAATAACTCGATGAAAGTTCGTGACTAGTACGATGATAAAACGAAAAATATTCGACAAAATTTACATGACACTTAACTATTTTGTTTGTTATAATTATAAACATGTCACCACATAAAATTAACGTTGTTTAATACATTTTTCGGGCATAAACTATCTATACTGATGGAAATTATTCACATTAATAGATAATGGACGCTATGGAGCACAATCCTTCTTGAAAAAGTAACAGTGGATAAATTAATCAAGAATCTTGCCATTTATAGAACCCGATGGTTCATTATCACGTTAACAGCCACCATTGGACCCAATCCTGAGCCAGATAAATCCAATCCACATCCCCCACCTTATTTCTACAGGGTCCATTTTGTTATTATCTTCTCATAATCGCTTGACTTTCCGACGTGATCTCTTATTTAAGGTTTTACAATTAAAATGTACGAATTTCTTATCTCTCTCATAATATTAACATCAGTGTGACATTCCGTGACATGTTTGTTTTTTGCTGTATGAGCTGTTTTCCAAGCTCCGAACTCCCAAGCTGTGGTCACTTTTGAATAGCAGGAAATAAGTTTTCAAAAACACAAGCCACAGTTAAGCTCACGTTGTTTTATGTTCTCTCTTTTCTAAAAACGTAAAAGTTAAACAAAATATATGAAATCATAAACTCGTGTGTATTAAACTTGATATCTTGTTGCGAGTGAAGAATGAGAATTTAGAACATTTGGAAATAAAATGTTGAAAGGGAGACTGAACTTAAGACAGACGAAGAAACAGGCGAACCATAATTTCTGTTCTTCACTCAATTATGTTAGGTTAATTAAAACAATGATAATATCAGAGGGACAAGTACCACGCGTAACAACAATACACCCGTTTTAGAAAGATTCACGAGAATAATAAACCATTTGATAAACCTTTATGCAGATGAGAGAGTGTTGAAACGGATCTTTGGGTGTTAGGTTGTGAATATATAAAGTGTATAGGAGCAGGCTCAGTGCACGGTCCAATGACAACTTACCACAGTATAATAAGTCCCATAACCACGGAATTTATTAATGATCTTCTCAATGAAGGTCCTGTGTCATGTACCGCGTAGCCCCTCCACAAAATCATCTCATATTCTAATTACAAAGTTTAAAACTTATAATCTACTCAGCTTGTGGACCTCTGAGGCAAAAGTTAAGGACCCCGTGTTGATAAACCGGTGTACTACTTCACCGGCCGCTGTAAGATCAAACAATGGACCAGAACAACAACCACCTGAAAACGCCAAACAGAATGCGCGCGCCTGCCAACTGGGCAGATCATCAGATCATCACGCCGTGTCCAATGGCCTCGCCGGGTCAGGGTGGGCAGGGTTTTTCCCTCGACTCAAGCTATTTCGGAATATTTGACCGGAGCTTCTCGTTT